TCATAAGAAACAAAAATGAACTGAACCAAAACCAAACAAAAAAGAAGCTTTTTTGGATCAACAAATGGGCCAGTTTTCTTATTTCTAGCCAGAACAAAGGGGCATAATTTGAGAAGAGAGAATATTCAAAAGGAACTAACACAGCTTTGCATCATCATGTGAAGTGCAAAATGCACTATCAGTGAGGGCGCCTCTCACTGGGGCAGTTGGAAGATGTTTTCTCTTCTATTTTTTGGATTTAGTGATGATACCATCTCTAAGAATTAATATTTATTCTTTGGAAGGATGTGTGTGTGTGTGTGTGTGTGTGTGTGTGTGTTATTCTCTGGACAACTGGATGAAGATATGGTAAAGATCCAACTCACATCTGAGGAGACAACTTAAAGGGGATCAGATTTTCCATGCTCATACCCCACCGTGGCCTCTGCAGAGGAATTTGGAGTCTCCTCCCTGCTTCCCCCACCGATCTGTTCCATGGAATTTAGAGTGCCAAATGTGACTACCATCTACTGTCTTTTTGGTGCCTTGAGGAATTTTTTCAGAAATAATAATTAAGTCTTGGAAAAATGAATATCTAGAGAAGAAGCATGGATCCTTGTGTGAGAATAACCCATGAGGGGCTGGCCCTGTGGCACAGCAGTTAAGTGTGCGTGCTCCACTACTGGCAGCCCGGGTTCTGATCCCAGGCGTGCACTTACACACCGCTTGTCAGACCATGCTGTGGCGGCATCCCACATAAAGTGGAGGAAGATAGGCATGGATGTTAGCCCAGGGCCAGTCTTCCTCAGCAAAAAGAGGAGGATTGGCATGGATGTTAACTTAGGGCTGATCTTCCTCACAAAAAGAAAAAAGAATAACCCATGAGAACACAAGGTAGTTTCCCTATAGAAGTTAGGAAAAGAGGCTTTATGACAGAGAGGAGTGGACTCAAGGATGGGAGCAAGGCTGGGGATGGGGTGTGGTCATGAGCAGGGCCCCTGCGAAGAGTGTAATTCTTTGGAAATTTTCTCTTAAACCATAAAAAAGCCATAATTAATCTATTAATTTATATGACTTCTCTCAAATGTATTGTTCCCTTTGGTTTCTCCAACAATTCAGTAAAATCTGCTGTACCTTTACAATTTGGTGTGGTTGTATTGGAGAAAACTGAGAGATAGCATTGCAAAGGGAAGTGAGGCTTGCCCCACATTAAATCCACTCCCTCCTAGCGAGTCCTTGAGAATGAACTAGCATCATACCATCCTTGTCTGGATAACCACAATGGAGCAAAGAATAATTTGCAATTCATTGAATCAGTGACCATAAGCACAACTCAGGAACATGCAAGGGACTTTGTCCTCACCACCAGCTTCCCTAAATATGCTTACTCTGTATTTAAAGTGCTTAGCATAATGCCTAACCATAATAACCACTCAAAACTATTAGCTTTTATTTGAATTAACCCACTTCAGAAATTCCCCCTTAATGACCTGGGATAGATGGGGTGAGGAGAGGAGGGGTAGGGTGAATAGGGAAGTCTAAACTTCAATGGTGTAACAGAGGGTGTGATTAGAAAGTTTCTGGGTCAAGGCATGGAAAGCTAAGAGGAAGCAGCGAACATTCCCTTTCTTCTGTAACCCAATCATCAAAGAAGCTGAGACTGAGAAGGGACCTAGTAGGTTGTCCACTACCATCTGCCAACCAAGAGTCCTTTCGCTGATCCCTAGGCCGGTCAGGCTCTCGTTATGTGATGTGCACTTTTCTTTCACCACATTTGTAATTATATATTTACATGTTCGGTTACTTGATTAATGTGTCTTTCTCACCTAAATGTAAGTTCTATGAGATTCCTTTTTTTTTTTTTGAGGAAGTTTGGCCCTGCACTAACATCTGTTGCCAATCTTCCTCTTCTTTTCTTTTTTCTCCCCAAAGCCCCAGTACATAGTTGTGTGTCACAGTTGTAGAGTTGTAGCTCTTCTATATGGGACGCCACCTCAGTATGGCTTGATGAGCGGCCACTAGGTCCGTGCCCAGGATCCGAACTGGGGAACCCTGGGCCGCCAAAGCAGAACACGCTAACTTAACTGCTACGCCATCAGGCCGGCCCCCCATGAGATCCTTATTGATTCATTCTTTCAACATTCATTCTGTGTCTACTATATGCCTGTATTTTTCTGGGTACCACGGGTATCACCGTGGGAAAAGAAAATAAACAGACAAAAATCCCTCCTCCAATAGACCTAAGATTCAGTGAGGAACATAGATAATAAACTGTATTTTAAGTGGCAAGTGCTAAAGAGAAATACAAATTAGGGGGAGGAGGGCCGGCCCCGTGGCTTAGCGGTTAAGTGCGTGCGCTCCGCTGCTGGCAGCCCGGGGTCGGATCCTGGGCGCGCACCGACGCACCGCTTCTCCAGCGATGCTGAGGCCACGTCCCACATACAGCAACTAGAAGGATGTGCAACTATGACATACAACTATCTACCGGGGCTTTGGGGGAAAAAAAGGAGGCGGATTGGCAATAGATGTTAGGTCAGAGCCGGTCTTCCTCAACAACAAGAGGAGGATTAGCATGGATGTTAGCTCAGGGTTGATCTTCCTCACAAAAAAAAAAAATTAGGGGGAGGAAATGTCAAGATTGTGAGATATAGTTGAAATTTTAGATATAGTGACTAGGAAAACGCTCAAGTGCAAGTGAGTATTTGGGTAAAGACATAAAATAAGGGATCAAACCATAATGACATACGGGGAAAGAGCATTCTAGGCAGAAGGAAGAGCCAGTGCAAAGGCAGAGGCTGGAGTGTGTTCTGTGTACGAACAAGGGAGAGAGTGCAAGGTGATGAGATCAGAGGAAGGCAGGGGCAGGTGATAGAGGGTCTTGTGAGGCATTGTAAGGACACTGGCTATTACTGAGAGAACCAGGAGCCATGGAGAGTTTTGACAGAGGAGTGACATGATCTAAAATCTTTTGAAAGAATTACTCTGATTGCTTTGCAGAGAACAGACTGTCACTGAAGAAAGATGGAAGGAGGAAGACCAGTTGGGAGGCTAAACACAATAATGCAGGTTGCTTGGACCTGGAGGTGGTGAAGTGGTCAGTTTCTGGATTTATTCTGTAAGTAGAGTTAACAGGATTTGCTAATGGATTTATTTATTTATTGAGAAAGATTAGCCCTGAGCTAACATCCAATGCCAATCCTCCTCTTTTTGCTCAGAAAGATTGGCTCTAGGGGCCGGCCCAGTGGCTTAGCGGTTAAGTGCGCGCGCTCTGCTGCTGGCCGCGCGGGTTCGGATCCCGGACGTGCCCCGATGCACCGCTTCTCCGGCCATGCTGAGGCCGCGTCCCACATACAGCAACTAGAAGGAAGTGCAACTATGACATACAACTATCTACTGGGGCTTTGGGGGGAAAAATAAATAAATAAATAAAATTATAAAAAAAAAAAAAAAGAAAGATTGGCTCTGGGCTAACATCCGTACCCATCTTCCTCTACTTTATATGGGACACTGCCACAGCATGGCTTGACAAGCGGTATGTAGGCCCACACCCGGGATCAGAAAGTGCAAACCCTGGGGGACTGAAGCAGAGCGTGAGAACTTAATTGATACGCCACGGGGCCAGCCCCAGGCATGGAATTTAAAAGGAAAAGAGTAATCAAAGAAGACTGCCAGATTGGCTTGAGCAATGGAAAGAATGACATTGACATTGAGATAGGGAAGATGGCAAGAGGAGCAGGTTATGTGTTGGGTGCTCAGTTTTAGGCATGTTTGAGATGCCCATCAAACATCCAAATGGAAGGGCCAGCCCAGTGGGGTAGCAGCTAAGTCTGCGTGCTCTGCTTCCACAGCCCAGGGTCTGTGGGTTCTGATCCCGGGCGCAGACCAATGCACCGCTTATCAAGCCATGCTGTGGCAGGCATCCCATATAAAGTAGAGGAAGATGGGCATGGATGTTAGCCTAGGGCCAATCTTCCTCACAAAAAAAATTTTTTAAAATATCCAAATGGAGATGAGGCGGCAGAAGGTGGACACACTTGCCTTGAGTTCAAGGAAGAGGTCCAAGCTAGAACTATAGATTTGGGAATCATCAATGTATAGATGGTCTTTAAAGCCTTAAGGCAGGAAGAGAGCAGGGACCCTAGCAAGTTTGCTCACCATTGTACCCCCATCCCCTGGCACAGTTTCTATTATGTAGTAGGTATTAAGTTTCTATTGAATGAATAAACAGATTGCATATGGACTGAGATAGGAGAGAGAAGCAAAATCTTGAATAGACCAAGTTATATGAGGGCAGGAACTTAAAGCCTCTTACTTGAAAAACTCAAGCTGTTTTCCAGTTCAATGCAGTCATTCAGATGCTGATTCTGTCTAATGAAATAAACATTCTTTTATTGTTTGGGATGCTGCTGCTTCTGACTTCAAATTAATATATGGCTTTTGTGGAAAAGACGGCTTATGCAAAGATTGCTCTTTGTTCTAATCATCTGGTCTTCTAGCAATTCTTGTAATGCATCAGAAAGAAAGAAAAAAAATCAGTGGTTTGAGAGGGAAAATTTCTATGTTCTAAGTCCCACATAACTGACTGAGTTTACTTGCTCAGCCACAAAGCAGAAGCTGTTAGTGCGCGTCTCTGTTGAGATTCAGAGATATCGTGTAATTAAACGAGGGAATAGATGCTTTCAGCTCACAGAACACAAGATGCTATTTACATAACTATTACTATTAGCATTATTATGCTTTTAAAATTAAAGATATTATTTGTTACCATGATTACAAAGTGTCTACTGCCACTGACTCCTGATCTTTGTTACCTGTGGAGCATGGACTGGAGTTTTAGAGAAGCAGCCCTAAAGGCCACCTATACATTAAGCAGAGTGGCCCTCAACCATCTTACTCTGCCTTTGACAGCCCCGCCCATCTTCACTGGGCCCAACAGGAGGAAGGCTGTTGGGGTACCTGGTGGTGGTGATGCTGTTGGGGGAGGAGCTCAGATTTGAATGTAGGGGCCAGTGCACTGTCAGACAGTCAGTGAAGCAGCAGCGCTGAGGCAACCTTTCCTTGGCCTAAGACTTTCAGGGAGCAAGACAGACACTCTGGAATCCACCATGGACAGGTAAAGCAGTCTCCTCACGGCTGGTTGCACTGGCTTTTCTCCCAGAGCAAATCTGAGTAATGAGCTTGGTAGCTGTCCCTTTCTCTCCTGTCACTATCTGACTCACAAGATCTGCTTGCTCAATATGCACATTTATTTTTCTGGATCTGTCTCATCTGTTCAGATCTTACATGCTCTCCACCTAATTCTTTCTGTCTCTCTCTTTTCCATTTTCAAAAGATCTTTTATGCACCAACGTATGGACTTGTTCTGAGATTGTACTGCAGTTAGAACTAGTTCATGGTAATAATATTACACAGCAAATGTTTAGAGACTCAAATCATGAAAAGGCAATAGCAATACTATACTATAATAAAAACAGTAGTGGCAATTGCAATAATAATTTTGTAAATATTCAACTACAAAAACACTTGAACATAAACTTTCCTAGGGAGACTGTACTGAATAATTTAGTTACATAGTAAGGAAATTATTTTTTTAATGCCAATATTGAAAATTAATTGCTTGAAAGTCACTATGATTGTGTCTATTATAAGGAGAAAAATTCAGTCAAGCAAGTTATTTAATGTTATAGGCCCAATTGTCAGGCAGTTAATGGCATTTTTACTATTTACTTAGTCTTTCAATTTCTTCAGACAAGGCTTAACTTACTTTTTAAATGTGTATTCTGCAAGATTTTCACGATGTCTTCACATGCAGTTTTTTACAATGAAGTTATTATCACAGAACTTATTCTATTCCTACTTTTATGATTATACAAATGTGTGAGAATCACACCTAATCCATACACTATATCTCAGTTTAATTCTATTACAAAGAATTTACACTATAGAGTTAAGATTTCTAATAGTAGATTAAGTGTTCTGCAGAAAATTTTCTTGAGGGCAAAAATGTCAAATGTCTGCTCAGTTTACAATGAGATTTTGAAGACTCATCCATGGTATAAGTCAGAGGTAAAGGGTCCAGTGGAGATATTTGTATAAAATGAAATGCAAAGCAATGACAAAATCAGTAGTTGAAATTCAGAGAAAGGCAAAACAGGAGAAAAGATGAAATTCAATAGGATAAAAAAGGAAATAGATAATTATCATTAAGGAAAATAATATCTGCAGAGTGCATTTGTGATGGCCCATGGCAGGAGAGGACTTCGTCACGATATTTTTAACCCATTGGTCTCTGGTTTGCATTGCTGGGGATGCAGTAGTGTTCTGCCTCAGAGAGCACAGCTGTCCAGAGCAGCTGTCAACCTGCAGGCCTGAAAAACTGCCTCCGCAAAGTCCTTTGTACCCAGAAGAGAAACCAAGAGAAGAACAGGTACTGGGAACAGGGTCTTAGCTACAGCTGAAGGGAAGTGATGGACCAAGAAAGTTAATTAGCAGGTCACAATCATGCAATTCGCTTCACTATGGTGACTTCTGACAGAGACAGGAAAGGACTACTGAATTTTCATGTGGAGGAGGAGGTAAAGTCCGTCTGAATCCCTTTACCTATGTCACTTCCTTCTCTATTCTCCCAGAACTTTTTCTTTGGTAACAGGTTCTCACCACACAGCCTGCAGTGCCTGATACAGTTCCCCCATCTTTCTTATCCGTATAGCCCAGGAGGGTAGGTTAAATGTAAAAGGAATTTACCGGTAAGAGATGATGCTTAAGCTGTTTAAAACTCACTGTGACTCAAGGAGAAAAAAATTTGTTTTTCTTTCTCTTCAGTATTTATTAAGCACTTGTATTCAATTTATATGTGCTAAGGATTATTATATGCTAATTATTTAACAATAGTAATAGTAATGGCGGTGGTGCTATGGTGATTACATAGTAAATTATTATCATTTTAAAATAAAGCCAATTGGGCCCTGCCCGGTGGCTTAGCAGTTAAGTGCACGCGCTCCGCTGCTGGCAGCTCGGGTTGGGATCCGGGCACGCACCTACGCACCGCTTCTCCGGCCATGCTGAGGCCGCGTCCCACATACAGCAACTAGAAGGATGTGCAACTATGACATACAACTATCTACTGGGGCTTTGGGGTAAAAAAAAAGAGGAGGATTGGCAATAGATGTTAGCTCAGAGCTCGTCTTCCTCAGCAAAAAGAGGAGGATTAGCATGGATGTTAGCTCAGGGCTGATCTTCCTCACAAAAAAATAAAGAAAAAATAAAATAAAATAAAGCCAATTATTATTAGATCTTGGCTAGCATCCATTTCAGATTCCTGCCAAATATGCACTTTTAATTCTAAAATACTATGAATAAATCATTTTGCATTGCTTGATAAACGTATGTGCATAGTGGTGATAAATCTAGTTCTCTGCCTCCGAATTTAAAATGTATTCCAAGAAGCTGCATGTGTGCGAGGCGAAAGGTTTAAAATGAGACAGCTGTGAAAGGCTCCTGTGGTTGCTGATCTACTTTCTAAGGTTGACATTTGGGTACTTAACTTTTAAATTCAGGGTCTATCACATGCATGGCATTGCTAAAATATGAGTTCTCAACATATGTCCACACAAAGTCTGGTGCACCAATGTTCGTAGAAGCTTTATTCACAATAGTCCCAAAGTGGAAACAACCCATATGTCCACCAATAGGTGAATGAATAAATGAAATGTGCTATATCCTTGCAATGGAATATTGCTTTGCAGTAAAGAGGAACGAGCTACTGATACATGCAACACCATGCATGAATTTCAAAGTCATTACGCTAAGTGAAAGAGTCAGACACAAAAGAAGAGATAATGTATGATTCATATGAAATTCTAGAGAGTGAATAATAACATAGTTACAGAAAGTAGATTCGTGGTTGCCTGGGGGGAGAGGATGAATTGACTGAAAAGGCGGATGAGGAAATTTGGGGGGAGGGGTGCCCTGGCAATTTTCTGTATCCTGATTGCATTGGGTGTTTACATCTGCCAGTGTTCACAGAATTGTACATTTTAAATGGGTGAAGTATGTAAATTATACCTCAATGTAAAGAAAAAAACAAAATGAAAAGTTTCAATTCTCTTGCCAGCAAACCGTATTCAAATCCTTGATGAGGTCTTTACTTTTACAAATTCTTTGCACTTCTGTGCAATGCCATTAGGTGGCAGCAGCATCTCCACAAATGGATAAATACAATTCTGGAAAAGACTAGGGACAGAACTATTAGTGCTTTGGTATCGACCACACCGTATAGCTTGTGTGATGTTCACAACTGCAAAGAAACTTGGGTTAGCAGAGAGTATTTCCACAAATTCAATTCAATTTAGCGCTTCTGATGTGGAAGACACTGTGCGAGGAGCTAGGAAACAAAGAGGAGGAGCGACCAGTCCCTGCGTGTGAACAGCATAGGGTAATATTTAGATCATATTGCCGAGTTAAAAAAAGCAGCAGAATACAAAATTACATATGAAATCAGTATAATCAAAACCATGTAAATATATGCCTATAAAAAGACTGGAAGGGAAAACAGAAGAATTTTAACAGAAATTGTCATTAGACACTAGGTCTAATTGCCATTAGACACTGACTGATATTCTAACTTTCTACTTTGTAGTATTTAAGTAGACAACAGTCGAGTATTGCTCTTATAATTTGAAAACAAAACCATTACTCATAAAGTGACACTTTCCACCTCAAAACACAGAAAGTCTGGTTGGGGAGACAGACGTCAGCAGCAAACAGTTGGTAACAAAGGACCAGAGCTTTGATAGGGAGAAGCTAGAGAACGACGGGAAACTACAGGAGGGGTTTTGTTGCTGTTATTACTTGATTTTTGCCTAAAAATTTGGGGATAATGGTGGTGAGAAAGGTTACTGGAAGAGTTGAAACTGTGTTAGACTTTGAAGGATGTCTAGGTTTTGCCCAGTGGAAAAAGGTAGGGAAGCATCCAGAGAGATGACGTGCATGAGCAAGGCGCTGGAAAGAAAGAGTGGAAGGAAAGGAGTGGAGGTGGGGGGTGTCTGCTGCAGAGGGGGCCTAAAGTGGTGGGAAAGAAGGGAAAATGTAGTAGGAAATGAGGCTAGAAATGTAGATTGAGGTCCAAATGGAAAAACTGGGCTAAATACCACATTAAAGAGTTTGAGTTCATCCTACGGGCAGAAGAGGCTCGTCAGGGGTTTCTCAGCAAGGAAATGACATGGGTCACACATGGGTCACACTCTGGTACCGCATGGAGGATGTTATTTTGGAGGGACTGAAGGCAGAGAGACCAGCGGGAATAGAGCAGGTTCAAATTCAAGAAATATTTGGAGGTTTAAATCAATAAATTTAGATCATTAATTAAATACGAGGAACGAAGAACAAGAGAAATCAAAGATGATCTCAAGCTCTTAGCCTGGTTACCTGAGATGGAAAAGTCAGGGGGTGAGGCAGGACGGTCAGGACAGAGCACGGATTAGGAATACTATTCTGACCATGTTGAGTTTGATGTACGCATTGGACATTTAGGTAGAAATTGGAGGGGTAAACTGAAAATACAATTATGGGATTGAGGAACAAGTTTGTAATTCCAAGTTACCAGCATGGAGAAGACAGCCGTGGAAGGAGACTGTCCTGTGAGCCGGAATGGCTTTGGGGTTCCTGCTTTCTCTCAATTCGTCTTAAATAGAAGCATGGGGGCCAGCCCTGTGGCGCAGTGGTTAAGTGTGCACGCTCCGGGGCTGGGGGCCCGGGTTCAGATCGCGGGCGTGCACTGAGGCACCGCTTGTCAAGCCATGCTGTGGCAGTGTCCCATATAAAGTGGAGGAAGATGGCCTCGGATGTTAGCCCAGGGCCAGTCTTCCTCAGCAAAAAAAGAAGAGGATTGGCATGGATGTTAGCTCAGGGCTGAGCTTCCTCACACACACACACAAAAAAATAGAAGCATGAAAAGGGATTTATAATGGATTTCAATCTCAGTAGGTCTCAGGCATCCAGCAAAGGCAGCAAGAGCATCTCCTTGGGTTTGGCCCAAATAATTATAGATTTTTTTTAAAAAAGCTGGAGGAAAGCCAGGAGTGACCGGAGAATGAGCTGTTCTGCTTTTTTCTCCCTCCTCTCATCCACAGCCTCCTGATGAAGCAGAGGAAGTTTCTTTACCATTTCAAAAACGTCCGCTGGGCAAAGGGTCGCCACGAGACCTACTTGTGCTATGTAGTGAAGCGGCGAGACAGTGCCACCTCCTTTTCATTGGACTTCGGTCACCTTCGGAACAAGGTATCAATGACATTTGCTTCCCAGGCAGTTAAAAGCTAAACTGTGGGCACTTTTTGAGCCACCTGCTGATGGTACCCCTTTCAACCTGTTTCACATTTGTCTCCACTAGATTCCTCAGATCTTTTTTTCTTTTTCACGTGTCCATGCAACCATAATAGAAATGCCCCAAAGGATGTCATTTAATGTCCTCCCCAGGGCCGGCCCCGTGGCTTAGCGGTTAAGTGCACGCACTCCGCTACTGGTGGCCCGGATTCGGATCCTGGGCACGCACAGACGCACCGCTTCTCCGGCCACGCTGATGCCGCGTCCCACATACAGCAACTAGAAGGATGTGCAGCTATGACATACAACTATCTACTGGGGCTTTGGGGAAAAAAAGGAGGAGGATAGGCAACAGATGTTAGCTCAGAGCCGGTCTTCCTCAGCAAAAAGAGGAGGATTAGCACGGATGTTAGCTCAGGGCTGATCTTCCTCACAAAAAAAAATAAAATAAAATAAAATAGGGCCGGCCCCGTGGCTTAGCGGTTAAGTGCGTGTGCTCCGCTGCTTGCGGCCCGGGTTGGGATCCCCGGCGTGCACCAACACACCGCTTCTCTGGCCATGCTGAGGCCGCGTCCCACATACAGCAACTAGAAGGATGTGCAGCTATGACATACAACTATCTACTGGGGTTTTGGAGGAAAAAATAAATAAATAAATAAAATTTTAAATTTTATAAATAAAATAAATAAATAAAATACAATAAAATTGGCTTAAAAAAAAAATGTCCTCCCCAATCACTCTGGGGCCATTAATGCCACAACTTGCTTCAAAGCCAATAATAACTGCCCCCGAACTTTCCCCCCCTTTCCCCAGCATCCGAATTGCCTTTGAGATTAACAGAGAAATCAAAGGTAAGAGCCTTTTGATTTGGAGGAATATTATCAGCTCATTCAAGCTAAATTTTAAATGCAAAAAACAAACTGTCTTTCTAATTTTTGAAAATTAAGGAAGAAAAATTTAGGGAAATTAATAATGACTCAATTCTGTTTTCCAAGTGATTTCTATTCCCTCCTGCTCACATAGATCATAGGCCAGTGAATACATTCAGCATGGTGAGCCCCAGAAAACTCAGGGAAGCCTCAAATGGTTGATTAATGAAATCAATCTCTTAGTATCTAGAAGATTAGAGAATTACATTTCCAAGAGACGACTTCACCAAAATCCAGATGGGTTTACATAAGCTTCTGCCAATGAATATTTCCTCTCGCTTAACATGCAGTGAGATCTGGTCTTGGAAGCCCAGGGAAGAATCCATGGGTGGAATGACATCGCCTAGCTCATTGTTTAGTGCTTATTTTACTATTCAATTTTCTTTGCCTCCATTTGTATTGTGCAAATTATCTCACTGCAATTGTTTTACACACTAGTCTCTTTCCTATTTGGTGATATGACACATTCTAACTATAGAAGGCTTTGCTGTTACCAACCCTTTACTTCCCTCTCATTTAATCCTCACAACACCAGCCCATTTTACTGATGAGGAATTAGAAGATCCAAGAGTTGGGTAACTTGGCTCAGTCACAGGAGTGGTGATGCCAGGAAACGGAAGCTAGGTCCTCACATTCTGGGACTAATGACTTTTCTGGAATGCTAAGTGGACTTGTTATATCTCAGTATTGTGGTTATTATTACAATCACAGGGATCATACAGTGAGCAGACACATTATTTAATGGCTCTTAGCCCATACCAGCGCCTATTACCTCTCCTACAACACCCACCTGTCAGTCTCACCATATCCCAGTCCTCCCAACCATAAATTTTCCTACCTCCACCTAGTGGTCCAGTGTATTTCCACAATGTTACATCAACAGACACTTCCAAGCCATTTTACTTCAACTCAAAGGTGCAAAAAGTAACTTCACAAACACAAATCAAATCTCTGCTGAGATACTGTGATGCTTCTTCATCCAAACTCAACTCATTTCATCCTCCCCATTCCACAGAAAATCCATAGCCTTTCTCCACCCGGAGAGGCCAAGGGCGCAAAGGGTTTTGGCTCACCACTTACTACTGTGCTCTTTCGGGCAGTTGCGTACCCTTTCTGAAACATAAGGACAAAACTGCAGACGCACCACAAAAGATGACTGTGGGAGGGAGATGAGTTAATGACCGTACAGCTAACAGCACCGCAATAAAGGTCAGTCAACGGCAGCTGAGTGCTCTGCTCTCTCCGCAGTCGGGGTGCCACGTGGAGTTGCTCTTCCTCCGCTACATCTCCGACTGGGACCTGGACCCTGGCCGGTGCTACCGCGTCACCTGGTTCACCTCTTGGAGCCCCTGCTACGACTGTGCCCGCCACGTGGCCGACTTTCTGAGAGGGTACCCCAACCTCAGTCTGAGGATCTTCACCGCGCGCCTCTACTTCTGCGAGGACCGCAAGGCTGAGCCCGAGGGGCTGCGGCGGTTGCACCGCGCTGGGGTCCAAATCGCCATCATGACCTTCAAAGGTGCGCAGGGGACCTTTTTCTGCGCAGGCTCAGAGCAGCAGCTCGCAATTGGGACTGCAATTCAGATTGAGCAGAGTCAGGGAGGAAATTCAGGGGGTAGAATTGTACGTGGGGTCTAGTTCAGCTTTGGAGCCGAAAATTATCAACTAGAATTGGAGGAAAAGAATTAATGGCTAGGACACAAGGCTTTGGAGGAAATGAGAATTTTAAAGAGGCTAGGGATTTCTTTCTTTCCTCTTGATTTGGGATCTGAGCTATCTTTTACCCCTCCTCTCTGCTTTTTTAAAGATTATTTTTATTGCTGGAATACTTTTGTGGAAAATCGAGAAAGAACTTTCAAAGCTTGGGAGGGGCTGCATGAAAATTCGGTTCGTCTATCCCGACAACTTCGACGCATCCTTTTGGTAAGGGCTTCTTTGCTTCCCATTCTCTCTCTCCAAAGTCATCTTTTCTTGGAGTTACTTATATTCTTTTCTTATATTTCTTACATTTTCATATGTGTGTGTGTGTCTTTGTCACTCTCTCCTTATTTTTCCTCTGATGAAAATGTTGTTTTCTTTGTCTTTTTTGTTGTTTCTCCCACAATTGAGTTTGCTCTTCTGTTGTTTCACAATTCAGGGCCCTCTGCTAAGATTCCCTTCCCTTCCCCTCTCTTTCAGTCGCTTGTCTTCTTTCTGTTAGACTCTTCCCAGGATTGTGTTTCCCTCCTGGTAGAATCCCTTCTTTTCCTTTTCTATTTCCTCTTCCCCCTCCCTCCCAACTTACTTTTTTCCAAAATGTTACCAAGTCATCCACTCTGTTTATTTCTGTCTTTCTCTACAGCCCCTATATGAGGTTGATGACTTACGAGATGCCTTTCGTACTTTGGGACTTTGATACCAACCTCCAAGAATGTCACATGCGATGAAATATCTCTGAAGATAGTGGGTAAAAGAACAACCCTTCAAGAATGCTGTTTTTCTTCAACTCTCACTTTCTTAGAGTTTAGAGAAAAAATATTCGTATATATGACTTTAAATATATATATATACATCTTGAAAATAGGGAAGGACACAGGCCCACAGGGTGATGCTACAACTGGTGCAATTTTTAATGCAACAACGCCCCCTACTGTGAAACGACAGAACTGCAGGGCCTGGGAGCCCCTAAAGTGTCAGATGTTCTTTGACTTTTAGGCAGGGAGAAGCGGAAGGTAAATCCTTAAAAGCATGGTGAAAGGATCAAGTGTTTTTCTTTTCTTTTTCTTTTTCTTTCTTTTTTTTTTTTTGCAGGGAAATAGTCATCCTAGGCTAACATCTGTTGCCAATCTTCCTGGTTTTTTTTTTTCCTCCCCAAAGCCCTGGTGCACGGTTGTGTATCCTAGTTGTAAGTCATTCTAGTTCTTCTATGTGAGCAGCCTCCACAGCATGGCTACTGACAGACGGGTGGTGTGGTTGACCTGGAGCTGAACCTGGTCCGCCCAAGTGGTGAACGCCAAACTTTAACTAACCACTAGGCCGTCAAGGCTGGCTCTCAGAATCAAGTGTTTTTATAATCAGTATCTTTTATTATTTGATTTATTTTGAGTTTTCAATGGTATTGGTGATAGATTTTTCTACTCTTTTCCTTTGGGATTCATTTACAATCTGTAGAACCTCCTAATGAAAGAATCTGGTGATTGTAACCCCAAACCCTCTCCTTAAAGCATTAATATCCAAGCATGTGCTGTATGTTGTAATCGTCTGAGGCGTGTTTTTATGTTTGTACATGAGAGGATTTTTTCTTGGTATAGAATACCCGTGGTATAGAATACCCAGGCTATTTTATAATAAAGGATCTTAAAATGAGTACGAGGACTGTGAAGAAGACGCTCTAAAAGTGAGTTGATGCCTCAAGTAACAAATTTGGAAACACAGACCTTTTTAGAGAAGTCCATCATTTAGAAACCACAACCACTAATTTCACATATAATTGGTGAACGCTTGGAAGGGAGTTGCTTGAATGTTGAGAAGAGAAAAATCTATTCTTTCCAATGGGTCTTTTAACCTTAGCAATGCCAGCCAGGTAAAGGTCTTCTACTTTTTGTATGTATGTCTTGCTTCTCTCAAAGAAATGTTCACTATATAAGAGAATGTGACAAAAGAAAATAATATTTGGGAGGGAAGGAATGACAGAGCATTGCAAGGAAATAGTATTTTATCCAGCAAAATGTAGGGAGCAAGCATGGCAGAGAGCGCCTATTTGTCCCTAACAATCATCCTTGACTGTGGGAAAAATATTCAGAATAACCATATCACTGTGCAGTTATTACCCAGCAACCCTTGCAATGCAGGTAAACAATCCACAGGAAAAGTTGAATGCATAATTGTTACTCTTATGGTACATAGTTTGTGAGAGTTAAGTATTGAAAATCCTACATCATGTATTCATTCATATTTTATATTATGCTATATAACGTCTAATATTTTTGTTATCATAATTTCCTTTTCTGATATGTTGAAGGGGATTCCTGATGTCTCATAAAGTTATGCCTTTAGAAATGATTCTAATAGGAAACTATATAATTGTAACATAGGCTAACATTGTAATAATCTTGCTATGAAACTATTCTCTTAATTTTTAGTAAATTTTTCCTACCACAAATTTGATTCTGGCTCATTTCAATCAACTGAATAAATGGTAAATAATTTTGAAAGTTTTGGAGATAAAGTACCACATAAAATAATTCCAAAAGTGATTTATAAAAAGTTAAATTAAAAAGTCAGTATGATGGAATAGACTTGAGAGTCCAGAAATCAGCCCATACATGTTTGTTCAACTGATTTCTGACAAGGGCACCAGGTCCATTCAGTGGGAGAAAGAACAGTCTTTTCAACAAATGGTACTGGGACAACTGGATATCCATATGCAAAAGAATGAATTCGGACCTCTGCCACATACCATTAACAAAAATTAACAAACTTTATCAAATACCTGAATGTAAGAACTAAAACTATGAAAGCCTTAGGAGGAAACATAGGTGGAAGTCTTCATGACCTTGGATACGACAACAGTCTCTTAAATATGAAACCAAAAGCGCAAGCAGCAACAACAACAAAAAGAAAAATTGAACTTCCTCAAAATTAAAAACTTTTCTGCATCAAAACACAGTAGTAAGAAAGTGAAAAGACAGCTCACAGAATGGGAGAAAATATTTACAAATAAAATATCTGATAAGAATCTATGATCTAGAATATATAAAGAACTCTTACAACTCATAACAAAAAATAATCGTGGGCCGGCCCCGTGGCGTAGTGGTTAAGTGTGTGTGCTCCGCTGCTGGCGGCCTGGGTTCGGATCCCGGCCGAACCGACGCACCGCTTGTCAGGCCATGCTGAGGCGGCGTCCCACATAAAGTGGAGGAAGATGGGCACGGATGTTAGCCCAGGGCCAGTCTTCCTCAGCAAAAAGAGGAGGATTGGCATGGATGTTAGCTCAGGGCTGATCTTCCTCACAAAAAATAATAATAATAATAATCGAAATTAAAAATGACCAAACGACTTAAATAGACATTTCTGCAAGGAAGATTTACAGATGGCTAATAAGCATATGACAAGATGCTCAACATCTTTAGTCATTAGGGAAATGCAAATCAAAACCACAATGAGATACCACTCATACCTACTAGGATTGCTATAAACAACAATGACAATAAAAAACAGTAACAATTGTTGGTGAGGATGTGGAGAAATTGGAACGCTCGTATATTGGCTGGTGGAAATGTAAAATTGTGCAGCAGCTATAAAAACAGTTTGGTGGGTCCTCAAAAGTTAAGTATAGAATTATTGTATGACCTCGTAATTCCACTCCTAAGTATGTATCCAATAGAATTAAAAACATGTTCAAACAGAAACTTAAACGTGAATGTTCACAGCAGCATTATTCATAATAGCCCAAAAGTGGAAACACTCAAATGTACATCAACTGACAAATGGATGAACAAACTTGATATATCCAGGCAACAGTATTTCATTCATTCATAAAAAGGAATGAAGTACTGACACATGCTGCCTCATAGATGAACCTTGAAAACATTATGCTGAGTGAAAGAAGGCAGACACAAATCACATGTCGTATGATTCTGTTTATACGATATGCTTAAAATAGGTAAATATAGAGAGACAGAAAGATTAGTGGTCACCAGGGGCTGGAGGAAGAAGGAAATGGGAAGTCACTACTTAACGGGTATGGGGTTTCTTTTTGGGGTGATGAAAATGGTCTGGAATTCGATAGTGGTATTAGTTGCAAAACATTGTGAATGTACTAAAAACCAATGGAGTGTGTACTCAAAATAGTTAAAATTCACATAAATGTGAATTTTATGTTATGTGAATTTCCTTGCAATTTTTTAAAAAGTCAGTAGGTCTTTGGAGTCAGGCAAACCTGAATCTGAGTTCTGATTCCACACAACAGTGGCAAGGTGTTTAACCTCTGTAAAGCCTTAATTTCCTGTCTGTAAAATGTGTATGATAATGTTAACTTTTCATATATCTTTGGTATTAAATTGGAAGATAACACAAAGCTGGTACTGTTTTAGTGAATAGAATTGGCATCCTCTCTGTTTACAAGACAGAAACCTAGAACTCACCCCTGACATTACCCTCTGCCCGCATATCGAGTCCTGTAGACTTTGTATGCTAAATATCTCTTGAATTTATTTACTTTTCTCTGTCTCCTCTATCAGCATCTGAGAAAGAAAACAAGGGAAAAAAACAGCCCTTGATAGTAGAATACTGGCCTGCCACTCAACCAGGCCATATTACTTTCCTGCTGGACATAAACAATCGCATTGAACACCAACCTCAGACAAGATTACTCTGAGACCATGATAAAATGAGAGAAAGCAAAGCCACTTCATAATTTGTCTGAGCCACCCACAAAATACCAAACACCCCGGCTCTTGGCTAAAAGGCATGACTCTACTTCCTTAACACTTACAGCTTCATCTTTGTTCTAGTCAGCTCTCCCTAAAGATTTACTGACATATCCAATCACGGAATTGACGCCACTCCCTCACAATATCCAATCTAAAGCAAATCTCCATTTACTTAGACACCTCTCCCAAAATCACCAAACCAAAGCTTAAATTCTGTAATTGAATTTAGAGCCATGAAATGTCTCCGAGACACTTCCTGGCTCACGGTTCCCCAAGATGTGGGTTCTCCCTCACTGCAAAGTACAAATCCAACTTGTTCAACTACAGGAATGTTCTTCGTGGTCTTTGGCTGGAGGCCATTGACGCACCTTAGTTGGAGCTATCAACATCTCTTGCTTAGTCTACTGCAATAGTTTCAGTGCTCACTAATTCTTATTACATTTTTCTGAGACTTAGTGTGCAGTGGTGGTGATGATGGTTGTTTTTAGGAAAATTTCGTGAGAAATAAATGCTGAATCTGTTAATTATCACTCATTCTCCCTAATATTTACTGGTCAACTGCTAGGTGCATAGCATTGTGACCAACATAACAGATATTAAAAAAAAAACAAAACACCACAAGTCCCTGTGTTCAAGAAGCTTACATTCCAGCGGGAAAGACAATCCATGAACATGGAAAAAAAATATTATATAAGTTTTTAATGGGAGTTGGGGGACTTTTCATCCCCTAAATAGCACCGAAAGTTTTATTTAAGGTATTTTAGAATTTAAATAAATGTTTAATTTATTAAAGATATAGATTTCAGTACCTAATTTTTAAGTCTTTATTTCAAACTTTGAAAATGTTATACGATTTACAAATCTAATTTTGTATTAAGTAAGAGCAACTGCTTTCCCTTGTTCTTTAATATTAGAGCAACTGAAAATAGAGATTAAACTTTTAAAAAGTGTCCTATTCACAAATTTGATTACACTACTTTTAACATTTTCAGTTATTGTATGTACATTAATATAGCTGTTTTTTAATCATCTTAAAAGCTTGACAGGGTAGATTTGCAAGCAAATCTAACAAATTAAACCTATAAAATGGCAAAATAAAATTTTAAAAATATTCCAAAC